TGTTGCATGCAAATTAAAACAAAATGTAAAGTATTTTTATAAAGAGAAAATAAAGATGAATCCAATAAAAACTTGGAATTTGTTTGAATTGAAAATAACTTAAGAAACCATTCTTTCCTAATATTTTCTTGAACATAAGCATATGGTAAACGCATAGTTGTGACGGCGTTTATTTTCTAAAACAAAATACTAATGGTTGTAAAATAATTGTTCAGCCAAATAACGACAACTACCGGGTTAGTGTACCTAGACCCACGATTACGTTTTCAGAATGTATTTATTTATTTTCCATATAAAAAGCACAGGGAAGCTACAGAACAAGGTGTATTACACCTGTAAATTTTATGAAATGACGACCACTAAAGCTCGAATTGACTTTATATATCTTTATATTTGAATTATTTTATATTTATTTGAATACAAGAAATACAATAGTAGATATGCAAAATATATAACAAGAATAGTCAATTTACTACATGTTGGTTACAATTTTCATAGAAAACAAAATTTAAAATATAATACGGATAATATGAAAATTGTATTTCATTAAATGGTTTCATTTAAAACGATAAAATGAATCTTATAAAAATTTGGAAACTAAAGAATAAAATATTTCTATAAAGTTTGATAATTATAAATAATAACTAAATTAATAATAACTTATATAATTATACAAAGAAGATGAGCTAAATAATATTTTAACATTATAATATTTGTAGAACAATTAAAAACCAGAAATATCAATTTCTAAATCTATTTGAAAATCAAAACAAGAACCTGAATAGAATGGTATGAACTATTTGAATAATGACAATAGATAAAAATACATATATAATATATACAGGTGTCCTAGAGTTCTGACAAATGAAATAACTGAAAATCTAATCAATATTTTTCATTTTTATTTTATAGTAGGAAAATAATAATTTAAATTTGATTCAAATTTTTGAAAAATTGAAAATAGCCTATTTAGGAACATATTGAAAATTAACGTTTATAGTATTTATTTGAGTTATCCGTTTGCGACATATAACATTTAAATATTCGTTCAATTTACAGGTCTGTGCAATTTATAAAACCCAACAATAAAACTGAAGTCAAAATGAATCTAGATAATACACAGATTGTCAGATATATAGGTCACCCTATATGAACACCGTGTTATATATTATATAGTAACAATATAATATTTGGTATTTATAAAATTGAACTTTACAATAATAACCATAAAGGATTTAATTTATTTTTGTATTTTTACGTATTTTATTGATGGATTTATTGTTTATATTTTGTTTATTTTATTATTGTTATGTATAAGTATTTTATAGAATTTGAACAGCATTGAAGTGTGCGATAACATAACATCTGGTATATATTATGGTATCGAATGATTATTGAGCACGTTTTACTTTTTGTTTTGAACGGTTGAAGAGATGCTTGTAATTTAAAAAGTCATAGTTGACAGAGAAACTAATAAGATTAAGTTCGTATATAAAATACGTAACTGAACGAAGTACACAATCTTCAAACGATATTCAGCAACCTAGGGTACTCACATACAGCGAGTTTTACCGACCTAGGGTATTCACATACAGCGAGTTTCACCGACCTAGGGTATTCACTTACAGCGAGTTTCACCGGTGCTAGTATATAATAAAATAATCACGCCGGACTAGCAATACCTTATTGAAATAATACGTACGACAATAATAATAATACCAATAATAACAATAATAGTAATAAATATTGATACGACCGTGATAGCAGCGAGATGAGATAGCATCGTTATCACGGAGATGCCTCGCGACGGAGTTCGATGAACTGCTCCACGATATCAAAAGTACCTAACCACCACAGGTTATCGTCGATGAATGCGACACGACAACAGACCGAAATAGATGGATGGCGATTCGCATCGGTCAACTACCAATCACGTGGTATATGTATGTAATTATATATGAAGCTTTATGAATGCCAATTCACAACAAATAACGGCAACACAAACGAAATATAACAACATGCGGAACACTCCCGTGTACCAATCCGGGTGCAAAGTTTCGTGATGTGACACAAACACGACGTGAACGGTGAATCGATAGCACACAATAAGATGGGCCGCAAACTTGCCAGAAAAGCGGTGGAGCAACGGCTTGACTCCAAAAATCTACCTGCCAGACGGAACACTGAGCACAAATCCAACTTGTCGCACACGAACAAAATTCGAAGATCGCGCACGGGCGTGTGGGTCCGGTAAAAAAGACGGCCGTTAGCAGCACCAAAGTCTACAACCTCGACGCTCAAACGCTGACTGAAACGAGTAAACTCAAAAAGTCTATAATTATATGATGGGTGAGAGGTATCGATAAGGAATTAGTTATGGATAGAGGGTCGTCGAAAAGTTCATTGTACTCTTGAATACGAGGGCCAATTCGGGGCAGTGGAACGTGCATTAACATTTTCAAACCCAATGATTTTGTAAAAATTCAATTCAACTTTCAGTGTTACTATTAAAACAAAAAAATACTTTATAATAATATAAATATTTTATAAAATTTAGATTAAATTGACTTATAATATTCGGTTACAGTCGTTTTTTAATTAGAATGATTTATCATTTGATTCAAATTTGACACATACATTACACTGACTTACTGATAACTGATGAAGTACATTCGTACATTCGACACCTACTGCATAGTAGATTGGTTACTTACTTTTCTTTTTTTTTTTTTGATTGTTAATTTATAAAGATTTTTTTAAATAAATTTTATGAAAATTAATATTATCTGTTTAATTTTGAAAACAAAATAACAGATATTTTAAAATTTATGGGATATAAATGTAAGTATACTTTTTAAAGATTTATGCTATCAAAAAGAAATGTTATCACTTTAATTTTTGATCATTTTTTTTTTATTTATATTTAGTCATAAAAAATAGCTAAAACTATTTTATAATTATTAAATATTTGCATCTAATACACGATAATATTAAAATTGTGCAATACATAAATTTGCGTATATCATTGAAGATAGTTATAAATATTTTATGTATTATTTATATTTATGTAGATGACTCACCATTTATCAATTACCATGTTGCACTTTTATGTAAGTAATTTAGTGAGGATATAATTAATATTTCTTATAAATGTCTTATTTCTATGCTTAAAAAAATATATTATAGGTATAATATGTTGTTACATAATTTATTCCAACCTCCATATCGTATGCTTATTAATTATTATGTAATTCTGCATAATAAATCAAATTTAACATTTTATTTTGTCATTAATTATACGGTAACTCACGATAGCTATTGTTATCATTAAACAGATACAATAGATCTATTGGGATTAGATGGTCATCTGAACAACGAAGTGGATGATGAGTTTAAAGTGAGTTTTGTAAATTTATTTTTAGTGTAACACTTTCTAACTTTCTCAGCTAAATCAAAACTATTTATTCATTTTTAATTTTTTTTTTTAATCTAAAACATAATAATCAATTGTTATAGTTTTTCTAAGATATCAAACTTACTTTATAATAATATCATTATTATTTTTGTAATTCAGTGTGACAATTATTAATATCATATTTTGATAACAAGATAATATAAAAAAATTGCAATACATTTAACACACAGTATGCTTTTTTATAGTTTAGCATTTCTATCTTTAAAGTTATGTCATGATGATAATGCCGAAAATATTATTTTTTTTCTTAAATTTATGTTTACTACAAATGTTTATATATTATTACAAAAATCACATATCACAGATTCATTATGTTTAATTATATTTTATTCAGACCAGGATGAATTCAAAACTGTCAAAAGAAAAAATTATTGGTATGTTATTCAATAGTTTTTATAATTGTTACAGACATAATTATTTATCAAATTTCTAGAACAAAAGTTTAAAGTATTTTATCAATCAGAGATTTTTTTTTTGGATAAGAAAACTATTTTTTATAGCAACTATTGGCTCTAAACCCAAACTGCAGGCGTGTAAACTTTTTAATAACTTATAATATTATATAGATGATATAAATAGGTAAATTTAAATTATTACATATTTTAATTATGTACTTGCATAGCATTGAAATAAGCAAGTTAAGATTTACAATATACATACATTAAATGTAATAAACATACTTAAGTTTAACAGAATAATCAATAATAACCAGATGATCTTGTCTAGATAACGGGAACCCCTATTATTATTATTACTATTAGGAAGGATTAAATTATATGATCACGTAGAATTTGACATATACTTTTAATAACACTTCAAAAAAATAATTTTTTTTTTTTGTATGGCGCTTATGTCCGGGAGTAGGCTCGAAGGCCTATGTTCGGACTCCTATTTGGCAGAATTTTTAGTGGGCACCCGTAGGTTTCTGCCATGCCCGGGTGGGGGGGCGGCGGCTTCTCTCTCCAGACACCGTGAATGCCTGAAGAGTGACGCCGCCCGTGACCGAGATTCGAACCGGCGACGGTGTACAACGCAACCGACGCCTTAGCCCGCTCAGCCACTTCCCCCCCCCCCCCACAAACACCGAAACAAAAAAAAAAATATAAGTTAATTGATTGGTTATAATTAATATTTATTAAATTTTATTATTTCTAACAGATTATGTAAAACAATTCCAAACCGATAATATATTAACTAAAGAATATATCCGTATGTAATATTCTTAGATGTATCTGTTATTATAAATATTTATACGAAAAATGTATAGAATTCGTTTTAAACTTATGCTTCTGATTGTAATTTTATGTTTATTTTATCGTGTGAAAAAAGAAACATAACCAAATTATTTTATATTTTATTCATTTATTAAAGCTTCATTGAAGAATATAAAGAGTTTTTGTTTGGATAAAAGTGAGTTATAGAATATACATATAAAATATACAAATTCAAATTCTAAAAATATAATTTTTCCGTCAAACATTTTATACCAAAAAAGTATAAATATTTTAAACTATAACCACATATGTATAGGTAGAAAGTTCTATGGTGTATACGTTTTAAATCACCAGAGAAAAAAAAACTATGATCCTTGTTTTTATTCAAATATCAAATTTTGTCAAAATATACTAGCTTTAAAAGTTTATAGTTGAAAAAAGTGTTTTATGTTTTAATAAATATCGAATTTGTGAGATGATTATAAATTCGATAACAATATTGTGTTCAGATTGGATACCATAGCTATTAGCCTTTGTATTTCCCATAATATGCAAAATACGAAATTAATAAGAATGTCTACAACATCAAGCTACATAATTAAGTCGATATTTATTGTTCAAGAATATAGTCACTGGCATTTTATAAGGCGTGTCATGATAATCTTGTTCGATTTCATTTATAAACATAGATCAACGTCCAACGAATGCGTTATACAGAAATAATGGTATAATTAGATCTTCGTACAATTTTGTTCTAAAACAAATAAAAATAAAATGGTAAATCTTTATATAAAAATATTAAATATTAAACATGGCACAAAGAATATTTTGATTAATTATTGTACATAATATTAGGTATTTTGAGGTAAGCGAAAAATGTAAAGGTTTATTTCATCAATAAAAAAATCATACTTGACATGTTTCCTATGCATCCAATATTATAACTATCCTACGAGAAAAAAATAATGAATCATATAAAGAAAAAACCTTCGTTATTAATTTTTGTTAAAACTAATAAATATCTCTATTAATTGCTTTTATTTATTGGAAAGATTTTTAAACTCATACCAAATCTACTAAAAATCAAAAAATTTCTCTGATTAATAATGTTTTAAAACATAATTAAAATCATAACCTACGAATATACTGATGTTTGATGGATATAGAAAATATTGTGGCAATTCGTTATAGTTAATTATGGGTGTAAAATTATACACTGCATAATATGTATTTTGTTATATTAGGTGAAAGAGTATTTTGATATTATTCAATCTTGCTTTAATTTTTATCTTTTCCTTAATTAGTTACACGATGTATATTATAGGCAATATTTAATAAATGGAATTATTCCGTCGATTAGAAATAATAATAATAGTAATAAATTTAAAATAATAATAATAATGCATATACGTGACTAGTTTTTAATGTTATGTAAATAATAATTGATATTATTTTCATTCATATAATATATAATTAAAAACGTTTGATAAGCACGCCCCTTAAAGTCTATTCACACATAAATAATGCAAATATTAATTTAAAATTAACATAAATAGTTAAATGGGTAATCCATCTCCAAATCATTGTTAGAACATCATTAAATACTCCATAAAAAAGGCTTAAAACAGAAACATGAAAGGCTAAAGAATTCAGAATATTAGACACACATCGCCGATTGTTTATATATATATATACATAAGAACTTATTAAATTAATAAAACTCGTGTTTTTTTTACTCATCAATCATTGATCATTTACTATTTATTATTAAATTAAAAAAAATAATGTATAAATTATTATACATTAGTATTCTGTCACTACGTTTAATTCATATTTTTAAAACGTACCAAATGTTAAGGATTTATATCGGTATATTTCTTTACTTTGCTTAACTGTTATTATAAAATCAACAATAACACGAGAAATATTTTAAAATAACTCTAACTTTCATTTATTATAATTTTTCAAGTACTAAGTTATACTTTCAGGCGGTATATATTATAATATTACATTCATTTTAAATCGTAATAGATAATTTAATAAACTATTAATTTGTGGCCAGGTGTGGCGTGGTGGTTGGCCTCAGTCATTAATGTGTTCTGAAGTCAAGCATCAGTAGGCATCTCTAGCTCTCAGATAGGTGACTACCCGAGTTATTGATGACGAATCTAAGGCGTACACACATACACATACGTGTTTCAATTCTTCTAAATAATCATTACAAACAAAAAAACTTAACACAACAAAAAAAAAAACCTACAGTTCCTATTCACAGGTAATGGCCTTAGTTGCCGGACTTAATAAGATCAATAAAAACTATTAATTTTAAGGAACAATATAGTATTATAATTATTGTACTAATTGAATATTTAATATTAAGCTGTCTAAAACATAAATTAAAAAAAAAGATTTCATAAAATTGCCTTGAAATTTACAATTCAACATAATTTTTAACATTAAATAATTTATGATTACTTTATTATATTTATAGGTTCAATATGTTATTCCTTTTCAAGTAAGACCAAAAAATTTTTTATTATTACAGTTATAATTATACTTTTATAAAAATATACTTTACTTAATATCTAATACATTTATCATAATTTTAAATTCGTTATAACCGTTAAAATTTATCGAATCTTTTATCATAGTATTTGTGTTAAATTTTTAAAGTAAAGCATTCTTTTAAAGTATTAAATAAATGTTGACGAACACCAAAATAATTATTTAAATAATATAATTTTGCAATATTAAATTCGGTCTAACACTTTATTTTTAATGTCATCATTGAGTATAGATGTTTTTCTTGATTGTCCGTACCTTAGTATATTCATTAAAATCAAATAGTGATTAAATGTTTTTGTATTTGATAGAAATTGTGTATACCTATTATGTGGGATTTCAATAAGTGTTCAGTGTTTCAAATAAGTGATGTGAGAGTTTTTATATAATAATAGGAAACAATGAACATGCCATAGGTGTATTAGGTATTCCGTGTGTTACAGGGTCCGACCAGTTCTTCCGGGTTGCCCCGGAGACACTCGAGCCCTTTATGTAGCCGCGAGGCTATCTAGGTGTATTAGGTATTGTGAGTTACAAATGTATCGCCTTATATTAAATATTTGTATTTTATAGAAAAAAAATCAGTGAAAGTTATATAAGATATTATAATTGGTTCCCAATTTTATTTTTACAAAAAGTATCGATTTTCTGATTGCTACAAAGTAGATAACATGTGGTATATTGTCAATTGAAAGGGAGACTTTGATTTCTTTCGAAAGTTGATTCATTAAGTGTATTCCCATTAAAATGAAGTATTTAACATATCAATAAGTTTATAAAAATGTCTAATTGGAATTGTATTATTTTAAAAAATAGGAGATAAAAATGTAAAAGAACAATCATTTATTATGTTATTGAATTGAAAATTCACTGTATTCTAAAGTCCAAATAGTAGTTTATTAATAATTTTGTTTACATATAAATAAATGATTTACTTTTATACTTTCACAGATATTAATAGTAAGTTCATATTATTATAATTAACTATTTAATTTTATCTGAAATCAAACAAGATTAAACTAAATAAATATATGTGATATAAAGCTATTTGGTTAACATAAAAAAGCATGATAAATGTTTTAAATATCACTACTGAGATTTACATTAAAACAATATCAGTTAAAGGCAATTTAGGCTATAGCTTCTTTTAAAAGTTTATATTAATTGACTAATAAGCAGGCCTTACAAATGTTACTCGTATAATAACGTTATGATTATAATGTTATATTTACCAACAAACGATTGAACTTTATAAATGTAATTATAATGGAAATGATAAACATAAATAATTAAATAACACAAAACAAAACATAACGGTTAACAAAATATATCATCAAACAAAACATAACACAAAAGTTATATATTATAGTATATCATTAAAAGAAATAATTAATTTCCTACTATTAAATAGTTATAAATTATGAAATATATTAAACATTTTAATTCTGAATAACGATAAACGCAAAAGTTGAATAATGTTTAAGTTCTCAATAACGATAAACTCAAAATTTGTAAAATATTTTAATTTTAAATAACATATAACAATTTTTTTCAAATGCAAGCCCATCTAATAACTAATAAGTAATAACAATCACTCAAAACATTACAATAGTTTCATACTAAAAATGTTATTATAAAAAATAGCTATTGAAAAGATTAATTATAAATTAATTGCTTAGTTCTACTGTAAAAATAATTAAATAAAATAAGTAAATATTAATTTAAAATATATTTTATTTGTACTTCTAGAGTGTACATGTAAGTTAATTGACTCAACAATAAAATTTTTTTTTATTTTTTAACAATATTATAACAATGAAAATATTAAAAAAATAAACATTTTATCGCTTTTATAATAACTTATAATAAAATATAATAGGCCTAAAATTATAAAAAAAGTTTTGTAAATCAATAAATTATGAATATAATAATTGACTGTTTCACATTTTTCTATTTTAAGTATTTTTTTAATTATAATGAAATAAGACTTTTGTTTAACCTATCATAAAAAGCACACTTTAAATTTTATCATTATTATTAACTAAGAAAAAATTTAATAATAGCGAGTATTGAAGAAGTATATAAAATTGGTATGTATATAATTAAGTATGTATATTGTACTAAACAAAATAATCTAGCGTTATATGGCAATCATAAAGTTCTCTGACGGGTCAAAATTTAATTAATCCAGAAATAGTTATATAGACTACTTAGTAGTAGTAGTGTGTAGTAGTAGTCACTACTACACACTAGTTTCCGATTATAAAAATATTTGAATAACATAATATGTAAAATATGTTGTAACAAAATGTTAAACATTACTGTCAAATAACAGTAGAAAAAAAAAAATAAAATACTATCTAAAAGCATTTATGAGCCTTATAATTACTGTGATAATTAATGTATAATTAATTTATTTACAGCTGATATACGTGACTATTTGTTAAAGTCTTATGAGATAAGTAAGAAAATTAATAAAGTATATTTTTATGATTCATTTATAAATATTTATATAGTGCCATTAATAAACTATCAATTAAACTAAGATTGTGAAGAATATAAACATGTTTACATTTAAAATGTAAAAAAAAAGCATCAATTAATAATTTTAATTAAATTTTATATGATACAACGTATTCTATAATAATTATTTGATAAAAATAGCAGTTTTATTATAAAAACTGTTTGCTGTTCATATTTCAGTAATTTTTATGCACATGACGATTTTAGTGTATTGAAAAATTACGTTGTTACACGTCATTCGTATTACATAGGTACATCTTTCCGTGTGTTGTGAGACCTGACAAGTTCTTCTGAACTTTACCCCGGATATACTTCGCTCCTTTATGTTATGAAACATAGCTCAATAATACATGTATACAAATAATAATAGAAATGGAACTTTTGGCTCAATAATACTGATATAAAAATAATATTAAGAGCTATTAGAGCTACAATATAATAATAATAATAATAATACTAATTAGCCCTTTTGGACCAGCCGTATGAAAATGTATATATATAATATATAAATAAATAAAAAACTCACCGATTGTCAGTGCACTGTTGACCAGCTGCTACCTAGCTATATAAATAAAAATGGTTATTAACACACACAGAAGCTACAAATAGAAATATAAAAAAAAAAGATCGAAAACTATTCAAATAAATAATATATAAAAACTTGGCGATTCGCGCACAGTAAATAATAATAATTCCAAAAGGTGGCGATTCGCGCTCACGATAATAGAATAAAAAATATGACATAGATTTTTACAAGGATAATAATAATATAAAAATGCGAACGTTTGGTCTTCGCTCGATGACGTACGGCAAAAGACAAGAATTCATGGCGGCTTTGCTAATTATTATTCGTGCAGCCGACGCGGCGGCTTGTGATAACGCGCCAATACGTTACGTTTTACGAGTATATCATCTTTCAGTGTGTTGCGGGGCCTGAAAAGTTCTTCCGAACTTTACCCCAGATATACTTCACTCCTTTATGTTGTCGTGATTATGTTTTGGGCAAAATACCAGGGTTAGCTCCCGAGTGCCAGGCACCCCGAAAGCCCGCCCTGGATGCCACCTCACTTTAGGCATCATAACGAGCCGATACGCGACCAGGGCCAACGGAAACCGTTCAAATCAAGCCATTTTCCCTAAGGCGGTACTCCCACAACCACCACGAGTCCTTTCTCAAGTACGGCGGTCCCGCAACGGACGAACGCAGGTACTCGGTGAACTCCCGTAGTTACGCATCGCAGGCCTGGAGGAGCTTACTCCGGGTCCCGTGGTACGAGGTTTGAACCCGGCGTTCCGGCCCTCGCAACTTCCAGGTTCCGCAAGCAGATCGCCGGAGCACCGCAAACGTGTACCACGACGACCCCCTTTTCTGCGTGCTGTTTGCCTGTTTACAGATTGACGTTTCTGCTTGAGTGCTTCGTCCGGATCAAGCCCCGAGCCGGCTGAATACGTGCACGTGTTTCACCCGAATGGTGGTCTGGCCCCTATCGTTCGAGCTCTCGGTCTAGGCAAGAAATCTATCATGGGAAATGGCTCCCAATTTGCCCCGCGATGTAGCCCGTCCATCCCCCGACTAGGTGGGTCTCATTGAAGAGGGCGTACAGCGAAACTATTGGGGGTACCGCCTTAGTTCCCTTGAGTCGGCAATTGATCCTCGCTTTGCTTGTCACTATCCGTTATTTCGCAGGCTTTCACTCCACAGCCACAAGTTGCAGATCGACGGTCGTGTTGACTAGGCCACTCGGGCGATTTGTACTCATGTGGGAATAAGAGGTAGTGTCCCCTTTTCTCTGGCAGTACGACGTTTCTTTCAGCTGCCCTCTAGCCACGCGCCTTTTCCGCTTTTTATATAAAATCTGGGGTCTGGGTCATGCTAACGAGATCGCTCTTCATCTTTGCGTTCTATGACCTCCCAGGAGAAACTTTTAAACGCAAAGAACATGGCCTCCAAAGAGGTCATGGTCTCGGAAGGTTAGTCACTCACTGGTGAGGACCAGCCACTTGTGCAGCGGCTGCGAGTTTGTCTCTTTCCTGGCTATATACTGGGCAATAAAATAGCACATGATCCGCGATTTCCTCGGGGAGACCGCATTAGCGTATGGTGGTCTCGTAATACCGCTTTTTTTTTGATCCGTTTCAGGACCCACTGGCGCGTGCCGCATTTCCGTCAGTCTTTACAATTGCGACGGCCGCGTTACGCATCGAGCTCGCATCGTTCGTTCGGCCGCACAGCTCCGACCGCGTTCTTACGAACGACGCAGGTAGTTGGTCACCCGGATCTCATCCGCCACCTATGGGAGTGTCCATGTTAGCCAGTCCGTTCATAATCTTTTGGGGGTCTGCTAGGTCTGGCGTCGACCAAGTCACTGAACCCCCCTTGTAAACTGAGGGTGCGGTTCGTTTATTTGGGCGCATTCTAGGACTCTAACGCCCAGCCGGCCCGAAGGCCACGCCTGGCGCCAGACTACCCAGCCAAGTGCAGCTTGCCTCCTTGGCCCAACCAGAATACCCGATTGTCCCCCTTCCAAGATTTTAATCTCATAGGCGGTTCTCTAACCTCCCCTAACAGGTAAGATCGCCCGGTAGCCACGAGGGCCTCCAGTGTTTTTCTCGGGAACGCCTTCTAGGCTGCAAGCGGCGGTCCCGGGCCGGCAACCGTGTCAGCGAATTGCTCTTCTATTCGCCATTCCATCGGCGCCCGCATCGAAACCACGATAACTCTGGTATTGGTCCACCCGGCCGCGCCGAATCGAGACCGGGGCTCTCGCCTTCCGAGGACCGCCCGCCAGGATGCTCACTGTGGTCAAGGTGGCCCGGCTACATCTTCCGTACGGCGAGCCGCAATTCAGAGGGAAGAGATCCCGCGCCACGGGTTGACCTAGGTCTTCAAGCCCGTGGAACGACGTATCCGCCGCCCTCCGGATCGGGCAAACGCCACGGTCTGTAACGAATGTATACGGAGCCCAATCCCGCATGCCACCCTGTCGACCGGTGTCAGTAGCGGACGTTCCTCCTTGCAGTACCAGGCCCGAGAACCACCGCTGATTACCAGCGAAACCAGGCTGTGGTTTCATTAGATCCGGTGTCGGTACTTCTTTTCGTGTGTTACGGGGTCCAACCAGTTTTTCCGGGTTGCGCCAGAGACACTTGACCCCTTTATGTAACCGCGTGTCTATCTCTTCCTGGCGGGAGACACAGACGTTTATCCGGGAAACCCTCCCGTGGTGCCACCTCGCCTTAGGCGCCATAATGAGTTACCGTCGCGACCAGGGCCCGACGGATTACCCCCAAGTCAGACCCTTTCTACTAAGGCGGTACTACCACTACCACCACTAGTCCTTCCTCAAGTGTGACGGGCCTCCCGCGGACGATCGCGAGTCCTCGGTGAGTCCTTGCGGTCGTGCGCCCCGAGACCGCTACCCACGGAACGTCGGGGTGCTTTTAGCAAGTCAACCCGACGAGGCTTACTCCGAGTCCCTTGGTACGAGGTTCGAACCACAGGTTATATAAAATAAATATAAATAATCTTAACCTTTATGGTTTACATTAGTAAGTTATGTCTATTTTAATCTATTTATATGATTTGTTGACATTATATTTTATTTTAGATCATGCTATACTTTAGATTAGTACCTACGATTGTACTTCATATTTCAAGAAAAACTTAATTTAGATATTAAGCAAAAACCAAAAATATGTAAATAGTTATTAACAATTTCATATTTTTTTCTGTAGGTCAACAAATATATGATCATAAAGATTTACCTGCAGGTATAAATCAAGTATAAACAAAATTATTATCTAGAACAAAATATTTTAGTGTCTGACGCGTATCTATATTTTTGTTTCATATACTGTAATTGTTACAAATATTTTTTAAATCCTTTATTGTAATCTTATCACAATTGATGTAATTACAAATTTAAATTGTAGCATGTGCGTAATTTTAGTGGTAAATTTGTTCTATCCTCAGTTTTTGTGTGCCGATTACATGTTTGGTACAGTCCAATTTTTGGATGATGAGTGTATTAGACCAGTGTTAATACTGTTTATAATCGTGTTTAATTGTTACTTGTTACATTATCGAACATCCAACGCCTAAAGAGGACAATTATTATAAATGCAATACCTTAAACTTTATTTATGTTTGTTAAGTAAATCGATAATAGGTATCTTGTATCTGTGTTATTTTCCAAGATTTTTTTTTTTTTTATTTATAAAAAACAAATATTTACAATCTGGATTCATTAACAATAAATAAATTTTAGGAAAATATTTACAAGGTGTAGAGGCATGGTTGAAGGGGGCATCCATTGACACTAATTCAATAATAAATCTTTAATTTTGTTTTAGTTTAATAATTAAATAGATTATTATTATTATTATTATTATTAATTATTTTTGGCTGATTATGAAAGTAAGTCACATGACTAGTTTCGTTTTAGGCGTCGAGGAGGTATGTTGGGAATGGTGGCAGAGGAAATATTAGAAATTAGAGGATTAGGGTGATTGTGAATGTGCGCTTGGAAATTAGAATAATATATAAGAGCGAGAAGAAGTAGAGTCCGGAGGTTTTCCAGACTTGTGAATAAGTATTATAATTTAATGTTTCCAAGATTCAGGGAAATAGGATAGTCTGAGAATAGAGTTGTAAAGCTGTGTTAGAAGTAAGATGGCTTTTTTTGGGTAAGTGTTTAATGATTGAGTTAGTTATAAAATCTTGTCCTGGAGATTTTTTTGTGGGTAGATTTTAATTAAATACTGGATTTCAGAGGAAGTAGTGTGTTTGATTGGTAAACAGATAGAGAGGGTATTAGATAATGCTGATTCAATGTATTTTACATAATCTAAAATGATGTCTTCAGAGTTAGACAAAAATCTGTTTTCGAGATTTGAGGCAAATAAGTTAGCTTTATCGAGGTTTGATATAGTCAGTGAATTATCTGGTTTGCGCAATGGCAGTATTTTATTTTTTTGTTTTGTTATGTTTTTGTTGGTTTCCAGAGTTTGTTAGTTGAACTGTTTAGAGAATTTAAATAGTGTTGGTAATTATCTGTATTGTGTTTTCGGAGAGCATTTTTTAAAGAACATGCTAAATTGTTATAGATTTTTTTTGTCATTTTGGAGATGATATCTTTGCCATTTTGAGCGAGTTCAAGGTTTTCAGCTAGAAGTTGAGATATATGATTAGGGGGTTAAATATTCGATTTTTGGTGAGTTGGATTACGTAGAGTAGAGTCAATTGCTGCATTTTTAATGATGGTAGAGAATATTTTGACTACGTTGTCAACATCTAAGGTTGTTTTTAGGGGTATGGTAAGCTTAATTTTATTTTTAAAAACATTTTCAATTATTCTGACCACCAGAGATAAGAGTAGGGTTTTATAGTTATTGAAGCATTGTTAATGTTTAGGATAACTGTTGAGTGATCAAAAGATAGATCTATAAAGTTAATTTTTTTTTTGTGGTTGATAAGATTTGGGAGTATTGTGACGAAAGAATCAAAGATGTCTGGACGTCTTTTATTGTGCGATGGCCAGTACGTGGGATTTTGGAAGCAAAGAACCTTTAGGTTTTTATTAGATACGGAGTCATGCAGTATACGGCCTCGGGTGTTTATTAGTCTTGAATCCCAAAGGGGATGTTTGCAGTTAAAATCACCCCCAGCAAGAAAGTTGTTTCCAAGAGGATTAAAAAATTACGTAAAAATATTAGTATTTATTTTTTGATTCGGTGGACAATATACTCAAGATATAGTAAGTGGTATATTGTTAAGCACTAATGTAATATTAGTGGTTTGTAGACCAGCAGATTGGTAAAATGGTATAATCGAGAGTTTGTTTATTGAATTAATTAGTATTGTAGAGCCAGCATGAGCGGTACCGTCAGGGCGATCGCAGTGGTAGGTTTCGTAACCAGTATTTTTAAACGTTGAGTTAGTAGTTAGATAAGTATCAGTTATTAGAGGTATATCTATAGAGTTTTTTAAATTAAAATTTTTAAGTTCATTTTTTTGGTGAATTAATCCATTTGAGTTTCAGAAGAGTATTGAGATAGGGTGATTAATATTGTTACGTCTATTTGGCATTGTTGGAAATAATGAGCTTGTCTATGACAGTAGTTAAAAGTGAGATTAGTGGGGTGATCAGAGCCTTTAGAGTTTAGATCATCGATAAAGGAAAATATTTTAAGAAGAACTAGTATACATTAGCCTCACTGGAGGCGTTAATGTGATTTGCAGTAGTATTTTTTTTTTTTAATAGCCTGAGAATATGACATTGCGGAGAAAAAGTTAGAATTTTAAGAAGTGTTTACATTATTTAAAATATTGCAAGAACTTTTATTACTACGTGTGATATTGAAATTATCTTGAGTAGGATGGTTTTTGATTCTTGAGTGTTTGATAGCTTGAACAAATTTGTGTAGCGGGCAATCTCTATAGTTTGCTGGGTGGGGACCGTTACAGAAGGTGCATTTTGCAGGCAGATCTTTTGATTTATGGTAGTTGTTTGAGGAATGAGGTTTGCCGCAAAGAACACATTACACATTTTAGTGGGCGATTGCAATAGCAATTCTTGTGACCATAGTTTTGGCAGCGAAGACATTGAACTGGCTGGTGGTTTATACGAAGCTCTTCTATTTCAATTTTTGAGTGGCATAGAAAGTCGATTTTGAAAATGTTTTTATTGTTGATATTTGTTGATATTAGATTCAAGGTCGGTGAAGAAAAGTGGGAAAGAGAGTTTGGTGTTGTATTGTAAAACGTTGGTTATGTTTCTTGGATTATGGCCAAGAGAAATAAGTTAATTTTTTATATCAACTAGTGAAGTTGTGTAATGTAGGTTTCTAATTACAACTCAGAACGATTTTTCAGATAGGTTTTTTTGATAAGTATGGTAGTGGGGGTTATTAGATTGTAGAAATTTAATGACAATTTTATACGAATTGACTGTGGCAGTGGCAAGTTTAACGCTATTAATTGAACTTTTACATGAGAATTTATCATTTTTTTTTATTTCTTTGATTTTTGCACAGAAGGATGCAAAGTCGTAAACTGTATGAATAAAAATTTGCGGAGGCGGTATGGTTTCGATTTTATGTGATTCGTGATTCGTTGTCTTGATCTAAATTTATGGAGGAGTTTTGGTGGACCTGATCTACAGTTTCAAACATCACATTTGACGAGAGTAGTTAGAAACGATTTTTTGATACATAAGTGGCTTGTTTTTTTTGATGATTATTTGAAGATGATAAGGAAGGGGAGAAAAGACGTTTATAATTAGTAGGAGTCGGGTATAGTTGGAGTTATCGGGGATTTATTTGACATGTTCTATATACGAAACGTTGACATAATCAAAGGTGAGACACTTTTGTTGTTGTTCATAATGAATTTATTATTGGTATTATCGCTGAACTGATAGTGGAGTTGCGTAATAGGTAATTAGCGGGCCGACCGAGTGACCACCATATATTCGATAGCTGATTACTGATTAGTGATTAGTATTAATTAAAGAAGTTACAAAAATAACTGTGACGGTGTCCAAAGCTGATAGAGAGATGCTGTGTGTGGCTTGTTGGATGTATGGTACTTGGACAAAGAAGTACGTTTTTTTTAAGTGAAAAAATAAAACTATTATTTTACATCTATTAGAAGAAAAGAAATAAGGTAACGAAATACGATGTTTCATTGTTTGACGACGCGCTAGTATCAAGATATTTATGCAAATAGAATCATATAATATTTAAAGTGAAATTTTAAAAAAGAAAGCAACAATATTTTTCTGTGAAAATTACACAAACAGTTGATTTTTTGGCTATTGACATGTGATTGAATAAATTAAAAAATTGTTTTATTTTTACACATCAATAAATTATAAAAGTTATATTGTCTTAGTTTTCTTCGCTACAGTGGGCGCTTAACATTATTAACCTGTAATCGATTACATGCTCTGGTCAAACGTTACAAGAAATGTTCAAAAATTGGTCAGCATTATAGATACTTTACTGTCCTATTTAAATTTTAGATAGATAAATAGCCCATATCAAATGCACTCCTGTTACAATAAATATGACTGCAATGATTGGAACTAGGATTAAAAAATGTAGTTTATAATAGCACAACTAACGACATATTTTATATTTATATTTTTTTATAGATAAAAGATTGCGAAAATGGAATGGTAAATTATTTAATATAATATTTTACCTCTCATGTCCTTAAACTTGTTGATGTTGCGCACACAGCTTAAAGTCATGATAATAGTTACAGTAGAAATCGTAATTACTAATTAATACTTGTTAGGTATGGAATATTTTTTTTTATGGAAAACCGATGTACATGTTTTAGTAAATTATTTATAGCACACCTTAATTATTTAAATGATCAATGGAATGAAAAATAATTTAAAGAATTAACAATATAATAATTAATAAATAACATAATTTATAACACTTGGATTTTTACCATCTTATAAAATCTTAAATATTCATAACTGATCAGGATTAGAAAATTTCAAAAAGTTGTTAGAAGTTAATTAAAGTATAATAACAGTATGATTCTTACTACCGACTTAGAAATTTTATCACAGAAACTTAAGAAGGTATTTTAACATATTATATGAATATAACAACTTTGTAACTAATGAAAACTAATAAAAAAAAAAAAATAATAAAGTGACTTTTAACAAACAATAGTATTAACAAAAATTATCATTTAAATGAGTATTTATTTTGGTTTTTCGCAAACTTAATTAAATCTTTGTCATTTTTAACAGACTTAGGAAATTCAATACAGTCTTCTTTATAATTGAAATAAATCAATATTTCAGCTCTTATAAGATCTATGGAACGCCTATTTCTCTCATCTCTTCATTTAATATTCATTACAGATAATAATCTTTTAGTAAATGCACTACTTGATGGTAGTGTTAATAAAAATGAAATGAATGAAAACATATTGGGCAATTCAATATCTTTCTAAAATATAAATTGTCATTTTTCTGGAATAGTTTTTACATTTTTCCAGTCGTTTGTGTATATAAATTGTTTAAAACTGATTGTACAATCACTATTTCATCAAAAAGTTTGTCAAAATCAATTTTTTGTAATTGAGGTATATGATGAACGATTTCTTCAAAGTGTTTATAGTTAGGAAATGTATTTTGAGAAAACTGAAAATGTGTAAATTTAAATAACCAATTTCGTTTTTTATCAAAATTGAAATTATTATTTAAATATTTAAATGCTTCATCAAAAAATAAATGAAAACTTCTTGTTATAGTATTTTTCAAATTCTTATCTTATAAATTGTTCAGTTTTTATTTGTTAAAAAACCAAAAAATTGTTATATAGTTATAGTTTTGAGATTGAACATGATACTAAATAATTCAATTAGAGTAGTAGAATTTTTTTCAATCTTTTTCACAGCACTATTAAACATAGGAAAATATTATTACAAAAAAGTAAATATATTTCTATTTTCTCGCTAACTACTAGACTTCCTTCAGTAATTTTAGGTAATGATTGTATTCGTTTTGGACAGTCTGAACTAAGACTTAAAAAATAACTTATCAAAGTTTGATAGTTACACAATATTCTGTCTACACATGGAAGTAGTGATAACCACCTAGTACCAACATGTCTTATTAATTCTTCTATTCTATTTCAAAAAAAATTATGAAATTCTTTTAAATTTTCTCTTTTTTTAGCAGAATTAAAAAAATGGAAATACATTTTTAATATTAAATTTTTAACATCTATATCTAAATAATCCATAACTTTTTTAACACAGTTGTGAAGTATATGCGCATGAAAATAATTTTTTATTATATTTGGATTTTTGGCTTTAATATTGATAAATAGTGAATAATGTAGACCAAAATTAGTACTGCAGTTATAATCACTAAAACTACTAACTTGTTCCCAATTTAATTCAGTATTAGTAGAAAATATTGTCAATCATCTTAAATATACCATCAGCTGTTTCAACAGAGTTTTCTATAAAATCTGACAACATTTTGTTAGCCTTCTTTAATAAAAATCTGTATGCATACAAGGCAAAATTTGATATTTTTTTTTTATTAGAAGCATCAGTTTGTATGGAATAAAATAATGGAAGATTGTGATTTTTAAGTTTTTGATACAAATAGAATAACGACCTGGGGGCTAAAACATTTTGCGTTATAGCTTCAAATTTTGTTCTACCACAACTTATTTTACCCGCAAGTTTTGAGTCTTCAAAAATAAACTTGTCTAATTTAAAACTACTATCTAAAAATTAAAATGGATGATTGAGTTTTTAATATGGTAAATTTTGATAATATCAGCAGCTATAACAAGTTCCTCCTCGGACGAATTTTTAACAGCAAAATATTTATTAACTACATTATTTATTTTGCATGCTTTAAACTTTGTTTGGTGTTTTTTTAAAGTTAAATAACGCACCACTGAGTTGTATTCCTTCATAAAAATATTAAAACAATTCATACATAGTTTATATTCTGTATTAAAATCATCATTTCTTCTTTACCACGTGTTTTGTTCTTCTCAATGTTTTTCGTAGATACACAATCGACGAACTTCTTTTGGAGGAATTTTATTTACATCACAATGATCTGGGTCTGACTGATTTGAGTCTGAATCTGAACTGGGTTATCTATTCATGTTGTATTGTTGTAAAATAAAAAAATTATAAAAATATGATAAAATGATGTTAAAAGTACTATCCTTTTTTGATAGCTAGACTCTCAATTGCTGTTTTCGGAGTTTATTTATTTTAGATATGCGAAAAGCACTGGGCAAGGAATGGAAAATGCATCCAATTCGCCGCAGACAGATTGCCTAGTCAAGTATCGACATGCACCGCACCGGGTGATAACTGATAGCAAGATACTTAATTGCCATTTTCGGAATGGATTTATTTATCTTCCATACACAAAAACACAGGGAAAGCTACGGGACAAGGTGTATTACACCTGTGAATTTAATGAAATGATCGACCACTAGACGCTTGAATTAGACTTTTATAAACTTTTATTATTATTTACGCGTTTAAATCAACACCGCCTAAGTGTAGAGCCACCAAATCAGAATAACCAACGTCAGAAACGCCGTTATCACCGGTTTCATCTACTAGACTTTTCTAACTGCGGTATTTTAAAGTCATATCTCAGACCTAGGAAATTCACTTTAAACAATTTTCAGCTACCTAGGGTATTCACATACAGCGAGTTTCACCGGTGATAGTATATTGATAAAATTAAAATTATAATAATAATGAAATATAAATATGTGTTTTTGTAAAATTTAAGACAGTACTGCTCTAATGTAAGACGGTTGGCAACTCTTGCTGTGTACATAAAATTGATAATCACAACTTGGTCCAACATTTATAACTTTATTATTTTCACCTTAACAACATATCATGAAAACAAATCATGTCAATATAAATATACACATAAATGCAAAAATAAGATTAATATAATATAAAAATATAATTGATTGTATTAAAACTAATAATTAAGTTTAACAAATAATAAATTAAATAATACTTATTATTTTAGCTCAAGCAAAACTTTACTACAGTTATCATGAAGAACTATTTACTAAGACTTATAATAGTATGTATTTTGTGAAAACTAATTTATAATTATATTTTTTTTTCAATGATTGTTATATAATTTAACATATATCAGTAAAATAAACATGATATCGTAGGTATAATTAAATGTATTCATAGACTTATAAGCTGAGCTGATATTAGTTTATAAATGTACGACTCTTATTACGATATAATTGTTGGTGGTATTGACATCAAAGAAATTAAATGATATTGAACTATAAACTTCAACAAACCATAAGTAATTTATATTATTTTAACTAAATCTTAAATTACTTTTATTATAGAGCAGGGGTGGGCAACTGGCGGCCCGCGAGCCTTTTTTATCTGGCCCGCACTAAATTTTCAAATTGCATTAGGTATAGGTATAGAATTTTAACCTATGTCCTATTTCATTATATACAAAATAAATGCTATTCAAAATGTATATTTTGAATGACCTTTTTTTTTTTGCTTTCTATGTTCTGGCCCGCTATATTTTAAAAAATTGGCCCTATAGTAACTTTGAGTTGCCCATCCTCCCTGTTAAAGAGTATAAATATATAGTGGGTACATAATAGATAAAAAAAAAAATGGAATGTTTATAAAGATTGTTTTTGATTCAAAATTCGAGGATTAAAAATCAAATCAAAATTATTGTCGAAATGATCCTTAAAATGATTATAAATTTATAAAAAATTATATTTTTTAAAATAACTTATTTATAAAAATAATTTATTTTGATTGAAAAACTATACTTTGGAAATTTTAAAATGAATTTAACATCCTATAAGATATTAGCCCTAGTAATAGTGCGTAGTAGTAGTATCACTATAATCTCGATATAATACATACAATACATATGAAATAAAATATACATGCTTGTAATAATCTGCAAGAAAAATATGATTTGATTTATCAAAAATGATTCCTATAAATAATGACAATTGTTTATGTTTTATCGTAAGTTTTTAAGTAGTTTTTTGTTTTAATTTGTATTTATTTATTTTGTGTTTGTACTAATTCTGTGCCATTAATCATCATTAATGCAAATGACGATTATGCTAAATAACTGTATTAACAAATTTATACATAATATATAAAGCTAAAGATTTATAAATTTTAAATAAGCATAATTTATAGTAAAAAATTAATTCCGTTAATGAATACGGTATTTATTTTTGTTTTTTAGATATGGAAAATTTGAAACTTATCAAATGGTGTAATGATAACATACCCAATATAATGAATAATTAAACTATCAACACTATTAAATACAACTGGATATATCAAGCCTACTAATGAAAATATCGAAACCATTGAAAAATAACTACAAGATAATAAAAAATATGTCAAATTTATTTAATGAACATATAGTTATGTCATTATTAGTTAATTATCTTGTATATTAAAATAAATAATATTTTAAGTCAGTGAAACCTTTTTTTTTGTATTTTAAGTATTTACTCTTAGGTTACACGTGCTTGTAAATTATAAGGTTTTAGTCTAATTTGTATTTTTAGGGGAGGGAAAGTATACTGTAGGTTTACAAAAAACTGGTTGCAATAAAATTAGTCATTACAAATTAAATATAAATTAATTTAAAATTTAACATCAATCGAAATAAATTACTAATCCTACAATTTAGTAAATCTACTTGAAAATAAAAAAAAAGTATAAAAGTCTATGAGTTGGCAATGAAGTATGGTTTAAAAAAGTTTTAATTTTAAATCAACTGTCAAGCATAAAATATGTATAAGCTTATTGATATATAAAGGAATCACTTAGAATGCAGATCCCCTTTTCCAATTATTTAAAATCAAAAAAATGTGTTAAAAATATTAACAGAATGGGAATGCTTGTTTAACAACATCGTGATTGCAGAAATATTGATTGCCAACAGCACCTATCTCAATGCCTTGAACACGATAAGTGAACGAGCATATCGAGCAAACCTGCACATTATCGCCGATAAAATATTATTATTGTATCGACTATGTGAATGTATGAATATGAAATGTAATCCTTTTGGTACGTTGTCGGGGTTTACGGTGGCTGATTTATAAAACCGCCGATCAGGGGTATTTAACAATTTTTAAGCATCTATTGAGTTTTAATGTGAACACGAGTAACGTGAACAGAGAATATTTATATTTTGGTTTAATAATCTTCTAACCTGAACAGTTCGCCTAAAAAATTGATCTGATCTATTATTAATGTACTGCTATATCATATTATTAAAAGTGTCTTATAAAATAAATTAAGAATATTAAAATATTATTGATAATTAATTTTATTTTTAATGAAATCCGATACATGCAAATTATACACATTGAAATTTAAAAAATATAAATTCCTACGTGTGATAATTGTTATATTTTATGTTTTATTTTATTTTCACATCTAGGATTTCAATTTTATTTTTTTTAAACACAAGCAAAAAAAGAATATTGAAAACAAACGTACTCTATGAAAATCGTCTTAGAATGTTTTCAAAAAGTCAACAAAAAAATCATAATAATTTTCTGCAATCGAACACTAACAAAGTTTGGTTATTTTTAATTTTATTAATCGTTTTTCAATTTTTTTCTTAACTACATTAAATAATATGTAAAATAATAAATACTAGAATAGTCTACTAGATGAAATTATACTATATAAACTGTTTTCATCGTAAGACCAGTAGGTTCTAAAATATTGTATTTCTTATCAGTTATCACTATTTTCCTTCTTATCCTTCTATTTACGCGAACATTATATATAAAAAACAACATGTATTTCGTCATATGTAGAGATACTTCCTTTTGATGTACATTTTTATGACAAAAAATATAATTAAATAGTATTTTATTTTATTTTATCCATTTTACTAATTCGGTGGATTCTACTTTAAAAACAGAAGCTGATGTCGCCGTATAACATTCAATAAGTATTAGAAATAGTTTCAAAAAATTGTTTGCATGCCAAAAAGAAGAAAGTCTAAATTATATGCCACCTCTTAGATGGGTCTGCCTGAATTGTTTACCGTGATTATAGTAGTATGTATTTGTATGTTCAAAGCACTTTTGAGCAGGGAGATTTTAAAAGTTTAAGGGACAATATCCCGCTTGACCTCATTTTCGTCTCCGTGTAACACAAAAATTGATTTTTTTTTTTTTAAAAACATATTCATGTTTTCAAAAACATTTAATTCCATGTAATAAAAATCATAAGAATTCTAAAAAAACATTATATAGGATGCGATCTGGTTAAAATAAAAACAAAAATATATATATTTTTAGCAAGTTTTACTTCAATAGATTCTGATATTTTAACTTTAAAAAAAATAAAACTCTCATGCAGATACGGATAAACATCTGTTTGCTGGATTTATATTCGTATTTCATCATTATTATTAAATGAAGTCGTATAAAATGTATATGAATGATATTTAATTTTCGTAATTTTATAATCTGTTTCAAACCTCGAACTTATATCCAAAATATCGCTTTCAGGTATTTTGTTTCAATTTATAACCTAAAGCCTTTAAAATATTTTTATTTTTCACTGTCAATTTTTTAACTTTACTTGATGTTGACGGTAACACTTTAGTCGAATGACTAGCTAGTCAAACCTGAAGTAATGGGCTTATGTTAAGTTTTAATCCCATGTCAAGATCCGTCACGTTTAATATGTAGTACAATTGTTAATGTCTCACAAAAATTATCGATTTGATTAAAATCTTGATCTACTAATTAAATAGTTATTGAATTAATATTTGTTTTGTACAATTTATAATATATGAAGTTTGGTGGTAATTGAACCACTTTTGTTTCAGTTTTTCCATTACGGAAAAACTCGTAAATTGAATGAGTTTGAACGTGATTACTGAATGATCCTTGAGCAATATTACACATTACTTTTATACAGTTAATTGTGTTAAAATTCACAGCTTTTTCCGAATGATAAATATCATAATAAGATCCATAATATTTTCGGTTTCCAAACCCTAATACAGAGCCTATATTGTTTGGAACAGTAAAGTCTAATGTTCCGTTACATTTTATAACCGATCTAAAATCGATAGGATCAAGACTTACATCAAATGTTAAATCAGTACGATATTCTTTATTGAAGTCTAAAATCGGTTGTTTAATTTTATTGTTAATATCTGTAATGTTATAATATCCTCTTGGAAAATTGAATGAAAAAAAATAATCATAAAACTCTATGTCTATCCTATTATTTGTGAAATTATGTTTGGAAATGAATTGAACGTTTGTAAACATAATAAAGCTATTTCTGAGTCTTCATTAACGTTTAAAGACGGAAAATAATTTGTAGTCAATGTAGTATCATTCCCGGATAAACTTAGAGTGATTGATTCATACATTGTAAAAATTTAAGACATAAATGTCCACAGTTAAATGAATTATAATTCTGATAATTTGAATAGTTATATATGATTTTGTTTCCTTTAATATATTTTTGTAATTCAATTGGTGGAGATAAATCACCAAAGCTGTCAAAGTATGTAACTTTATCCTTATTTTTATAAAACGCTACCCAATGACTTCCATCGCCTGAAGATATATTCAAGTTTAATATTCCACATTCAATTTTAAGCGGTTTTTTAGGTAAGTCGTCACGTGAAAAGATTCCACGGAAATGACTAATATTAAACTCTCCAACACATTTTATAATATCTTGAGATGAAAATGGTCAATTAGGCAGCGTATTCATCAGTTTTTTTTTCTTAACCTATTATTCTTCAGATATAATCCACTACCTTTTTTTCTTTTCGAATTTTGTATTGCATTATACACACTAGCACTTCCAGACATTAAACTACCAAGTGCTGATAATCCTGCAAAAATAGGTATTAAGGGAATCAAACTTTTTGTCTGACCCGGTATCAAAATCTGTCTTTTACCACTATAATTCTTCTTAACCTTGCTTCTTTTTTTCGCTGCTAATGAACTATTTTTTTTCTAGCTTGTTTTTGTCTACTTTTATAACCCATCCCCATTTTTTGTTTAGCCTTCATCGCATTTGTTACCAAGTAGGCAACAATTTCTTTTCGAGGAGTGTCTTTAGCTTTAAACTTTTCACAAGAACGATTTTCTAACACTTTATCAGCTTTATGTCTTTCATCTAAATTTTTACTTTTCGCGTACACTAAGTCGTGATCGCGACAAGCGTTATCTAATGGGTTTATTCCTTTATTACCACGATCTATTCGCTTTTCTAATTTCGTACCAGGATCAAAAAATGATAACCAGGAATGTGAGCTTCAAACGGAAGACTATTTATAAGAGAGTTTATAAATCCTTTACCAGTCTTATCCGATTTCCACTTAAGAGTTGAGCGCGTCATCAATAACTGATAATAAGTTATAAATTTTAGAGTATTTATAAGAAAATGAATTTGATTGAACAGAAAGATAAATTAGATATTTTAAATGTTGACACTCAAGTAATAAAAAAACTGTCAAGACACGGTCCGTTATTACCCGACACTATACGTGCTATTATAGTTGGTCCTAGTGGTTCGGGTAAAACAAATATAATGTATAACCTAATCACACATGAAAACGGATTAAGATTTGAGAATATTTATTTATACTCTAAAACTTCTAATCAGGAAAAATATATTTTATTAAAAAAAATAATAGATGATATAAAGGGTGCTAACTTTTTATATTCACAGACGCTGACAAAGTTATAAAACCAAATCTAACTAAAAAAAATTCTATCATTATATTCGATGATGTATCGTGTTGCCCGCAATCGATTATAAGAGATTATTTCAGTATGGGTAGACATTCAGGTGCTAGCTCTGTATTTTATTTAGCACAAACATATTCTTAAATTCCAAAACAATTGGTGAGAGATAACTCAAACTTTTTAATAATACTAAAACAGGATGACACAAATTTACGTCATATATTTAATGATCATTCATCGACAGATATGGATTTCTCAGAATTTCTGAAAATTTCTCATTTATGCTGGAATCATAATGATTACGGATTTATGGTTATCGATAAAACACGTGAAATCAATAAAGGTAGATATAGATGTGGTTTTCATACTTTCATTAAAAAATAAAATAATTATATAAATATAGTTGTAATTTAGTTAACATCTACATAATATTGTTTTAAGTCGGAGGAAACAGTTATATTAAATTATTATTTCTAATGGATAAAGAAAAAGTTTTGTTAGAAAATTTAGTGTCATCGAAAAAAAAAATCAGACGTAAAATAATGGATATGAGACGTGGTGTTATAGATACTGATAACTATTTTCGTGATACATTTAAACCTTTACTCGAACCATTGAATACATTGTCAAAAAAAAATATTCCGATTATTTCTAATAAAGATGAAGAAGTTTTAAATGCTAGTGATGATGATAACAAAAACTTATTGAATTCATCGTTTGATAATTTTTTTATTTTAAATCCTAAATCACGACGTTATGATAAATCTTATGGTATGCATTATGATTCTGTTTACGATCAACTTAAAATATCAAATATCCCTGTTACTTTTGAACATGGTAACTTACACTTACTCGATAACTACTATCCTTGGACTAAAGGAATTTGGTCTTTATTATGTGAGAAAGTACCAAAAAATATGAAAATGGAGGATATGGAATCATATCATCATATTATTTTGAAAATAAGTAAAGTTTTTTTAAAAGCAGATGGGAAACCAAAGACTTCAGGATATTTTAAATGGATAAACGTTGTAAAAACTTTATATGAACGAATGAAAATTGAGGAAAAACAATTTAATGAGGAAATATTGAAAATTAATAATGCGAAAGTTAAAAATTCTACTCAATTAAATCTAAAACAATTTGACAACATTTTGGCTAGTTCAAGTGCTAAACAGTGAAAAATCGATAATAATACAACTATAAAAAATGACCCGTTTGATTTTTACCTTCAATGAATAGTTCTAAATTTAAAGAACCTCCAACTAGCCAGCTGTTCAAATTTAGTTTATCACCAATGGGTAAAAAAGGTTCTGGTTTATATAAAGATGTAATACCTCAAACACAGTTAGTATATTATGATGATCCAAATGAGTTAGTTAAGAGATTGAATCTAATAACTTCATCTCAATGTGTTGGTAATACTGGTGTTAATAATGAAATCATATTGAAATTCCTTTAAAATTACTCCTTCCATTTCATTCTTAAAATATCCTGGCTGATTTTTATTGATTTCACTAAAACAATAATGATTTTTTTGGATAGTTTGATGTATCGAAAAACGGTAATAAATCATAACTTAAGTCATTGAAAAAGTTGTGTGTTTGAATTTCATATACCATAGAATCTGAATCTGAGTATAAAGAATTAATTTTGTTACCAAATCTTTTTTTCATGACATTATAATAAAAATCGTACATAAATGTTTTCGAGACGTCTAAGATTGCAAATCCTCCATAAATCGGTTTATCAAATTTAATAATTTCCTTATGCTGATGAATAGCCATTAGATTTTTAGAGTATATAGTTCTATCTTTAAAATTAGTTTTTATCATTAATTTATTTGCTTTTATTTCTGATGAAACCAGTTTTAAAGAAGTTCTAGCTCGAACATTTTCCATACGTTTACCAAAAACGCTATTAATTAATAATTTCCAAAAGTTTTTTTCAAATTTGTTTTTAGCTATTACTCTCATTTTCGTACAAAGTTCAATGTGTGGTGCCATCCATTTACTCTGTGAAAATCTTATAGCTCGATGAATTTTTACCAATTTAAGTCCAATAACAATTGCTTGTTTCAAATTTTTATAATGTACGATATATTTTTTTTTGATGATAACGTAGTAATCAATTTTTTAACTTTTGAATTAGAAGGACATTCGTTTATAGGTAAAAATGGAAAATCATTATGCTTTTTATGTAAATATTCAGGGTAATCAATATCAACTTCTAATATATATCCAACTTTCGAATCATCAGGAATTTTAGTAACGTCAATGTCTAAATCATCAACCCATTCAAAATATTTAAGAGGTAGTTCTGTTAACATTGACTTTCCATATAAATTTACACAATCCGGATATGTAATCCATGTGATTGGTTTATCAGAATCATAGCTTAAACCTTTAATTTTTGGTATGTTTGCTTTAACATATCTTTTTATTGATTGAACAACCCCACCTCTGATGGCATTCTCAAAATATAAAAGCTGGTTAAAATCTTTCAATCTTTCTAATTTAACCTTAGTATATTTAAGCATACAATCAAAAGCAAACCCTGGAGCAGTCATATAACGAGCAGGATCTAGTCTAAGAATAGACAAATATAAATCTCTAAAATTTTCGAACACAAGTAACATCAGTTTTTAAGTAATGATCGCTATATTCACCTAAAGTTTTAAATCGAATATCTTCCATATTTTTTGGGCATGAGAATAATCTTCATCACTAATTTCCTCATATTTTAAAGAGTTATAAAATAGATATTTTGGAGGTAAACAGGTTTCATTTAGTTTACTCCAACTATCGATGTATCATAAGGGAAAACACCTTTTCGTGTTACTAAATTTATTTTTTTATTAGAAAATATCTATATAGTTTCTCTAAATCTCGATTTATCTTCATTCAAATTATCCCCAAGTTCACTTAATAAGGAGGACATAAAACGAAATGAATCAACAAACTTTATATTAAATATTGAGGCGATTTCTTTGCTAAATGAAATATATTTTTCCGATGAATTTGGAATAACATGAATGTCATTATCATTACAACCAAGTTCTCGAATTATAAAATGACTATCATATGTTAAGTTATGAAAAAAAATCGGAACGAAAGAAGGGGTAGTTATTTCAAAATTACATTTTATGCAAAGACATTGTCTATATTTACCAGTTAAATGACAGTGGTCGCGAACTTTGATTAAATTATTTATTTTTTAAAGACAGTGAACATTTTTCACAAACTTTTGTTCTTTGAAATTCTTTTTCGGTTAATTTAATCATCGGTATATTAATTTGATAAATATTATTAATCTTTTCACCGATTTCAATCATATTTTTCATAAACATATTTGCAGCATCTTTAACTCTATATATTACTACTGTTAGAACGATACAATGAAAAGAAACGAAAAATAAAACACTCTGAGTTTTAAAGTTTAACTATATTATAACAAAACAAAGATGCGGAAGACGCTACACGACGCCACGACACGACGGAGCACGACAGAGGAGGGGGCTTATCGAACGGTGTGTCGACCGATGCAATGCCGGAATTACTCTGACTATTGCACCACAGGGTAGGTGACTGATCGATGCAATGCCAGAATAACTTCAACTATTGCACCATTTACCGAGTCACAAACCGTTTATTAAGTGTGGTCTGAGAGGCCGCCTTTCCTATTTGCGCAAGTCTGCCCGGGTGGGTCTTACTACAAAGTCGGAAAGACGGAGAATGGTGTTGATGGTCGTGTCGTGGGGCCTTTTATACCCGGTCTATCGGCAATTACATCGGGTCGGTCCCGTGTTCTGTGACAGAAACACGAGAAGATACCCGGTGAATCAGTGATTACACCAAGTCGGTCTCGTGTTCTGTGACGAAAAGCACGAAAAACCCAATTGTTAACTGCCGATAGATGTACAATTTTCGGGATCAGTGCAAATGTCCATAATCCTCCACGCATATTACCCAAATCATAATTGAGATAATCATGCGTGGAAAATACAAACACCTGCACTTATCGCACACAGCGCATACAATAATAAGATAACAAATTTGTCACGCAACGAAAACAATAATATAAGAATATAAAATAAATATAAGAAAATAATAAGAGTATGCGTAAACATCACCGCCCACTTTGAAGATATGTCTTCAAGGAGTTGGTAGCGGACAAAGTTTAACGGCTGGCCGAGTCAGGATTCCCGAGGTGGTTTGGACAGTAGGAACGCGGGAAATTCCATCTGATCCAGGATGCAGGGTCAAGATTCGTCCAAGGCGCCAATGAAGTGGAGGAGTAGCTTCCCGTATGAGAACCAGATCACCAATTTTCAATTCTCCATGATTTTCCAACCATTTGCTGCGGATTTGTAAGCTCGATAGATATTCGTTTCTCCATCTTGTCCAGAAATAGCGATGTAGGTCATTGATGAGACGCCATCTCTGCAATTTGGACAGTGGGATCGTCTCTAAGTTGGGTTCGGGTAAATTGGTTGAAGGCTCAAGAGTCAAAAAATGACTTGGCGTTAAAGCGGAGAGATCAGAGGGGTCATTACTCAAAGCACTCAATGGCCTAGAGTTTAAAGTAGCCTCAACTAGGGTGAGTAACGTCATTAATTCTTCACTGGTTAATCTATGGATGCCAATTGACCGAAGAATTAATGATTTGGTTGATTTGACGCCTGCTTCCCACAGACCGCCAAAATGTGGCGAGGAAGGTGGATTGAAATGCCAATGAATACCGTTATTTGCTAGCTGCTGATGTACTTTATCTTGAAAAGAAGCTGAGTTAATGAATGTGTTCAGAGGAGTTAGTAGTCGTGCTGCACTGACAAAATTTGTGCCACAGTCACTATGCATTTCATGAACAGGGCCACGTCGTGCTATGAAACGAGTGAAAGCTAGCAGAAAGGTTTCAGTGGTCAAATCAGAACTGAGTTCCAGGTGCAAGGCTTTGGTGGCTAGACATACAAACAAACAAATATAAGTTGACCTTGAAGCAGATGTTCGACCTCTTGATTGTTTTATGACAATAGGACCGGCGTAATCCACTCCTGTAATGGCAAATGGTTTGATTTGCTGAACTCGGGTCGCTGTAAATTGCGTCCCGTTTTAAATTTTTTATGTAAATTGCGGCCCGGGTATATTTTATACATACGTAAATTGCGGCCCGGGTATATTTTATACATACGTAAATTGCGGCCCCGGTATATTATATACATACGTAAATTGCGGCCCCGGTATATTATATACATACGTAAATTGCGGCCCCGGTATATTTTAATATATTTGCCTACTTAAATATTTGTCATTGTTATGTAAATTACAAAATCAATATTTTCCTTCCCATTTTTCAGACTTAGGACTGGCAATATAATTGTATTCATATTGGTATGGTTAAAAATATTGGTTTTGCTGTTTTGTTTATAATTAAAAAATATATTATTAAAAATAAGTAAAAATGTGTATAGTGAAAAAAATAGTACCTATTATAAAAATTCAAATTAATATACTGGTAAAAACTTATAAGATAATTCCCGCACATAGTCTAACTGAGTAATATTTTTTGCTTGCAATTCATACATTTTGTCATGTATAAATGATTCTTTATCAGTCATTTTTTTGCTTTTTGTTCCCTGACTTCTTAATGTAATATACGTATCACATTGCATGTTTTTTTAAAATTTCAATAAAATTAAATATATTTGGGTGTGACGAATTGAACGAACTATTTAATTTTTTATGAAATGATTCACAATTATTTGTAGTGCGCATCGTTGAGGATACAAATTCAGCCCATATCTGTGGTGGAAACTCCGCGTCGTCGATTATATATGTTTCTAATATGTAGTCGGTAAATTGTACTATCCTATTATCTTGTGGTTGCAATGCCATTATATCAAACGCAAAACAATCTTCAACCATATCACAACTCAAAAAAGGAAGTCCAAAAAATAATTTTAAGAAATTACTTATATCGGTATTATTTCTTTTGTAATCATTACTTAATCCTAGCTGCTGTATTTTCCTGTACCAACTTTGACCTAGGTGAAATCTACACCCTTTTATTTCAATAGAAGGCCAAACATGTCTTGCAGCATTGTGAATAGCTTTTTCAAAATCGGCATATAACCGAATAGGATTAAATTGTAAGTAATTTTTTTCGCACTCTATAACTAAATGATGAAACGCTTGTAAATAACACTGTGTAGTCTTCGAAGGTAATAAAATATAAACGAGTGGAACATAAGACTGATTTATTGCACAGTGAACAGTAAATAATTAATGGTATAATTTTGGACAACTTTTGAATGTACCATCTACAAATATAGTATCCGAATCGCATAGCACTTTTAAATTGCTTAATGTAGAGAAACCTACTATATTTGTTTCTTTACTATTTACTAGCAAAAAATTTTCATTTTTGTTTGTTTTGAATTCTATTTTGTCAAAAATATTTGTAATTCCAAAAAAGTGTCTGGTAATTTTGGTAGTATAGAAGCTCGAGCATTGTGTAAATTTCTTTTAATCAATTTTACGTCTTGTGTAGTTAAAGATTCGACATCAGCATTTTTTAACTCAGAATGAATAATTTTAGATGGCCTTGTAAAAATATCATCAACGGCTTTTCTTTTTAAATTATTATTAAGTTTTTGACGATTTATAATTTGTTCCGAAAGTTGTAGATGGTTATGATCTTTAAAGCTATCTATACATATACTGTTATTATTAAATTTTAAAAAACACTTACAAGTTTTGACTGTACAAAACCAACGTTGAATATCATTCTTCAGAAGTTTTTGAAAACGAAATTTGAAACCATCAACTATTTTCAACGTTTTATTTTTTTCACTTTTCATAACTTCCATTGTTATTAAATTTAAAAAAAAATACAAATACTAATTTACCAAATACTGTAAATACTGTAGACCAATGTAAAAACTCGTGCGAAATATTTCGATCAAATGCACACAGCACACTGGCGGCTAGTAATATTATATAAGTGAGCATCAAGTGATCTTATCGATCAATATTAAAGATAATATAACCAGCCGACCGGAAATCGGAATTTACGTACATTTCAAATATACCCGGGCCGCAATTTACGTATGTATAAAATATACTCGGGCCGCAATTTACACAGTATATAACTATGACCTTTTTTTGCGGGACGCCATTTACCAACTCCGGCTGAACTCGATGTTTGGGTAAAGTCGCCATTTTTAGTTCAACGGACTTAGACTGAGTTTTGAAACAGGGAATGCATAACCTGAGTCGAGATCGAATAACGCGACGTGCGGATTGAATCCAGTAGTCCTGTTGTAGATGTGTCTGCAGAGTGTGAGCCCCTGGATGGCACAACCGGACATGATGATGGTCGATGAGAAGGTTTGTTAATGGATGAGACGAAGGCAAAAGAACTGGATGTTTGTGGGCATAAGGTAGATTGGCATTCGTGAGTCGACCGCCCACTCTGACAAGACCGGATGGATCAATAAACAAATCCAAACGACGCAGGTCCTTGGATATGATGTGTAATCCTTTGGTCAATCTTTGAATTTCATTATGGTAGACCAGGGGTCTCCAACCTACGGCCCGCGGGCCGGATGCGGCCCGCCAAGCTTTTTGCACTGGCCCGCCAAGCTAATTAATGTTTTGAAAATAATATATTAATTTTCATTGTTTTTAATTTATTTATTATTAAATTGATTAATAAATTAAAAAATTATATAAATAAACATACATTTTTTTAAATAAATCTCATCTATTCTTATTTATTTCTTAATTTCATAACCTATCAGATATTCCTAGAATCCTAGATAGACAACATTTTTTTTTTTTTAGACAACACATTTTCTAAAAATGTTGGCCCGCGATGTCAAAGCGTATATCAAATTTGGCCCGCCATAAAAAAAGGTTGGAGACCCCTGTGGTAGACGGTGTGCTGCGTGAAATATATCAATGCAGATAAAGCATGCATGAGTTCTCCAGCATTTACGGTGAAGCTATTTAGACCTGAAGACCGTAACTTTCTCAATCGTAGGACATATGCCAAGATACGGAGAATCTTGTCTAATTTCGAGTACCGTGCTAGTAAGTCACTAATTGATGATTTTATGATGACATGTAGTACATTGGACTTCCGTAATTCAAATGTTGGCGATGTGTCTATATCTGATGGTAGAGTCATAAGTGATGAAGGCCATTGATGGTCAGCTTCTTGCAGATACGGTGGACCAGACCACCAGAGTGGATGATTGACAAGTTCGGATGGAAACAAACCACGTGAAGCGCAATCGACTGGGTTTAGTTGTGTGGGAACATAACGCCAAATAGATGGTGACGTCAATTCCTGAATTTGGCTTGTACGATTTGCGATAAATGTGGCCCAACGATGGGGTGAAGATTGGATCCAAACCAGTGCAGTTGTCGAATCTGTCCATGCGTGTTGTTCATCAATTTTGAGACGACCAGCGTAGGTGTTGACGACGAAATTTAGTAATCTGGCAGCCAAAACGGCTCCACATAATTCGAGTCTTGGAATCGTACATCGTTTCAAAGGAGCTACTTTAGATTTTCCAGCAACCAGATGGCAATACACTGATGTTGGTGTCTCAACTCTCAAGTAGACAGCAGCAGCATAACCCTTTTCTGAACTATCCGAAAACGCGTGGAGTTGTACAGAACAGGCTTGGTCGTAAGTTAATCGGCGACGAACCGAAAGGTCTGCGATTAGATGAAGTTCAGAATGATATCGAGACCAGAGCTGTGCGATTTCAATAGAGACAGGATCATCCCAGCCAACACCATCAGTCCAGAGTCGCTGCATCAGATGTTTTGAGAACAACGTGATTGGTGACAGAATTCCTAGTGGGTCAAATATTCGTGCTATGTCTGAAAGTATCGAGCGTTTTGTTGGGTTTTTTGTCATGGAATGGATTTTGAATGAAAACGTGTCAGATGATGGATCCCAGTTAAGACCAAGGAGCTTCAAGGCGGGGTCTTCACTAGCGTCAAAAAGCATTAATGGAGACATCGCATGAGTATCCTCAGGAACGGCATGTAAAATTTCACTGCAGTTACTTGCCCACTTGCGAAGTTCGAATTTTGCCCGTGAACATAGCTGAATGAGTTCCTGTTGACATTCGAGAGCTTCTTGTACAGAATTAGCTCCAGTGAGGACATCATCAACAAAGGTATCATTGAGCAGAATTGCAGCAGCACGGGTCGACTGAGCGTTAACCATGGCCAACTCACGAATTGTCCGTAACGCTTGATATGGAGCTGCTGAAGTACCATATGTCACGGTGCAGAGCCTATATTCGTCAATTTTAAAAGTAGGTGAAAATCGCCATAGTATACGTTGATAATCTCTATCATCAGGATGGACGAGTATTTGCCGATACATTTGTTTGATATCGGTGACAAACAAATATTTCCATAGACGTGCTCGTAACAATACAATTTGGATATCGGGCTGGAGCTTCGGCCCAGTGTACATGCTCTCATTGAGTGAGGTACCTGCGGTTGTTTTAGCTGAAGCATTGAACACAACACAGAGTTTTGTCGTCTTACTGTCGGGCCTCAATACGCAGTGATGAGGTATGTAGTATTTGTGCGGTGTATCAAAGGTTGATGGAGGAATTCAGCTAACACAAATAGATTCGACGGTTTCCCAACACGTGAACACGCAACATATAGTTGCCCATGAGAAAAACATGGATTTTCCAAATCTAAACCACAAATGGACATTGTTTGAAAAATAATTTTCAATGGAGGTTAAATAAAAATAATATAAAAATTTTTGTACAATTATTGAAAAAGTGTGGCAATGCCTGACAATGCTACTGCTAATGCGATTTTTTGTTGCGACCGTATTTTGGCAAGAATCAACGATATTAAAAATGTCTTACCGGTTCCACCGGGTACATCCCAGAAAAAAAACCGCCTTGTTCAGCAGCAACAGCCAGCATAATCCGATCACAAATAATTTTTTGTTCTGCTGTCAGTAATGGTTCACTGTTCATGATAATTGTTGCTAAACTTCCATGGTCATATTGATTTTCTCGTTGTAAATCGGTATTGACTAAGTCGGTGGCTGGACGATTAGGTGATGGCATACCATAATGATTAAGTGGTAAATTTGAAATAAGAACACATAAATCCTCGATCAAGACCAATGCTTCATTGTACATCTCTGGTGTATAATCTATGTTTTGGCATTGATTTATTTGTCTAATTCGGTGCAAGATGTCTTCTGTCATACAATTTTTATATTTTTCCCACAAAGTTTGTGCTTGCGAGGGATAACATGTCGTCAAAATAATTGCAAACAACTGACGAATGTTATTCGGTATTGATGTCAACGCAGCATCAGCAAGCGTTAAGTCCCAATGGTTATCGTCTTCTAGCAATTGCAGTTCACGACATGCATCCTGGTATGTATTGAATACTCTACCATTAACTGTTCGTAAAAATTCAAAAGACGTTGGTCCGGGAACATTCACCAATAACAAACGTAAATAGAAGCACTCACGTTGCTTTGGATGTACCGTGTAAAGACTCCCCAATGTCTTAGCTTTGAATATGCCTGTAATGGAAGGATGTGGTTCTCCTTGTTTCCATGGCTCCCATTTTTTACTGGATTTGTTCCATGTAAAATAACGTGGAACATCACCATACACCAATGTCTTCGTGAATTGGCCAAAAACATCAGGTTTTTGACACAATGTAAAAAATTCAGTTGACGATGAATGGATATTGTAGTGCGTCATATGAACGGTGTAAATTACGTCCATCGGATGCACGATCGCAAATTTTAGTTGCCCCAAATGACGTCATTTGGAAGCAAGAATTAAATTTGCGTATCTTACGCAAAAATAATTTGGAATCATCTGAATTGCCAGTAAGAAGGGATAATAAAGGCTCCGGCGGAGCGGGTAGAGGTGACAGCACAACTTTTCCTGATGCGCAGCACATGCAGGCTACTTCATTCCGAAATTTCAATGCCTGATAATATTGACATACTTTATCCATTCCACCGATAGCAATCATTGAATGCGCTGAGTAGTTAATATCTGGTGCATATTCAAAGGCAAGCCGAACGAATGATGCACGTGTTAATGAGCGGCTGATCCGTTGCCTTTGTCGATCTCTTTCTCGTACTGTAGCTATGTTTCGTTCTCGTGCCGCTCTTGTTCTCGTAATATTCTGTTGCAGACGTTCGTCACGCTGTTCTTGAGATTCTCGTGCACGACTTTCTGCAGTCCTGATTCTTTGAGCTGCATTTCTTGTTTCGATTTGTTCTGGTAATTGCTGAGCACTTTCAACACGTTTGCGTCGTGACCTTTTGCTGCTCGCGTTGTTGAGGTTAGATTTTTTCGGTATATATATATATACATATTTTTTTCGATTTTTATCGATATTAATCGATTTCAAGCCCTGCTATTATCGATTTTTGTATTATTATTTATATTTTATTTTTATCTGCAAGAGGGTGCCACCGGTGTAACTCGGTTTTTGTCTCTAAATCTCTAACTCACAGGAGTTAGGTCCATACCCTATATCCTATCTTTTAAGTTGGACCAAATTACACGCGGTGTAAAAAATTTCATCAGAATCGGTTAAGTGGATTAGGAGTCCATTGAGGACAAATATTGTGACACGAGATTTATACATATTAAGATATAGTTTATTATGTAGATTATTAAAAACATTTTTTTAAAAATAATAATTCAAATAATAATATAATCATTTTTTTTTTAACATTTATATATACAATCAAAATTTAAATCAAGATTAAATAATTCTGATAATGGTTTTAGATTATTACGTAATAAATTACAGGTATCACAGCAATGAGAATAACGTTCCCTTAGACTATGAAAACTGTAAACATCATAAAGCTTATAAAATTGATTAATAACTTTTATTTCATTTTGTAATTTAATTATTTGTTCATTTAAA